TATTCTATTCTATTCTATTCTATTCTATTCTATTCTATTCTATTCTAGCAAGTGGTGTCAATGGAGGAATTTGCCAAACATGCGTCTCAAAGTATCCCTCAGTTTCCTTATATATTTAATTTTTCTTTTTGTATTATGCTAATTGGCTTAAACTGATTTTATCATGGTTTGCCACACACAGTCTCTTGTTTCAGATCAGTGGCCAATACAGGTAGTCCTCGACTTACAGCCACAACTGAGCCCAAAATTTCTGTGGTTAAGTAAGTTTTGCCCCATTGTGCGATCTTTCTTGCCAACGGCAGTTTAATGGAATCACCGCAGCTGATAAGTTAGTAACCCGGTTGTGGAGTGAATCTGGCTTCCCCTTTGACTTTGCTTGTCAGAAGGTCACAGAAGGGGATCACGTGACCCTCTGGAGACACAACAATGGTCATAAGTATGAGTCAGTTGCCAATTCTGATCACTTGATCACAGGGATGCTACAAAGGTAGCAAATGTGGGGAAACGGCTCTAAGTCACTTTTTTCCCAGTGCCGTTGTAACTTTGAACAGTTGCTAAATGTACGCCGAGGACCACCGCTACAATTTGAAAGAATAAAGAAAGACACAAATGTCAAAGGCTGGAGCTGTTGCTTGGAGCATCTGGCAGGTTTCTATCTAGAGACCAGCGGGTGGGGAGGCATCAAAGCGGACAAATATATGCTGTCAAAAACTGGCATGCATAGCTCTGTTTCTAACCCAGCAGGGGAATAGCGTACTGTCCTTAAGAAAAGAAGAACTGGCACAGGAGGTAATAGTGCCTGCTTTAAGATGAGAAAAAGGTTAGAGCGGGGGTGTCAAACTCGATTTCATCGAGGGCAGCATCAGGGTTGTGTCTGACCTTGGGGGGGGGGGGGGGGAGGGGGGTGTGGCTAGGGTGGGCACAGTGATGGCATTCAGCCAGTTCGCACCAGTTTGGGAGAACCGGTTGTTAACTTTCTGAGCAGTTTGGCGAACTGGTTGTTGGAAGAACTTATTAGGGCAGAGAACCACTTGTTAAATTATTGGAATCCTACCACTGGGTGGGTGTGGCCAGCTCGACCTCACTCCTTTTTTTTAAAAAAAATAATTTTTAAAAACAAAAATACAAATCTCTATTCACATTAACAGTGTTTGTGTCGTTATTAATACATACCTCTCCTTTTATGCATAAACATCAACTCTTATTTCTATCCTCCACCCATTTGTACCACCTACCCCAAACTGCATAACCGAGTCGTCTTTCCCTCTTAATTCCATTGTGAATTTATCCAGTTCCATACAATCCATTATTTTTTGTGTCAAGTCTTCTTTAGTTGGTATCTTTTCCTTCTTCCATCCTTGTGCGAAGGCTATTCTCGCCGCAGTTATGATATGTATAATGATGTATCGGATGACCTTGCTCAATTTCCCCTCAATTATTCCTAATAAGAATATTTCCAGTTCGAGTTCTAATTTGTGCTCTGTAATTTCTAATAACCATCTTTGTACCCTCATCCAATATTTTTTAATTTCCGGACACTGCCACCATATATGGAAGAATGTTCTTTCTTTGTGTTTACATTTCTAACATTCTGCTTTTGTGTTTGGATACATTTTGGCCTGTCTTGCTGGGGCTGGGTGCCATCTACAACCTGTCAGGGGCACCTATGGTGGTCTGAGCTCTCTGCCAGTGAAAATGGGCTCCTGAGCTCCATTTTTGGCTAGAGCGGCCTCCTTCAAGCCTCTGCCAGTGAAAACGGAGCTCTGAGCTCTGTTTTCACTGGCAGAGGCTTGCAGGAGGCTGTGGTAGCCGAAAACGGAGCTCAGGAGCCCATTTGCACTGACACAGAGCTCAGGGCGGTCCTTCTCTATTTCCAGGGCAGCCCCATGGGCCAGATCTGTCCCACGGGCCTTGAGTTTGACATCCCTGGGTTAGATTAATGCATGCCATGAGCTAGAAACAGAGTCAAAACCTCCTGCTCTAGATGCAAAGGGGAGCATCTCCTTTGATCCTGGCAGAGAAGAGAGAATTTGGGCAAATGGATTTTTCCCCCCTCCGCCGTGCACCAGAGTGACAGGGCGAGCTAACCCCTGCTGAAATTGCACCTCCTCCATATTTAGAAGTTCTGCCTCTATTGCATCTGATCTCCCAACTCAGGGAGCTGGACATCAGAACAACCCATCCTGGCAGAAAGGATAAAATATTATTTACTGTAGCAAGGAGTTCCTCTGGCAACAACCCATCTGCGGCCAAGGAGGCACATAGGAGGGTGGTGGTGATGAGCTCTGGAGTTGCTTTTGTTGTCTTGTTTCTCACTTCTCCAGTCGGTCCCGTTCTCCGGCTTGGCTTGGTACAGTGTACACTCCTAGTTCTTTGAGTCTCGGTCGCATCAGATTTAGGCAGCCAGCTTGGTCTAAAACCTGCTTGGCAGCTCCAGGAGGAAAGCAGCGGGTGATGCAACCAACCCACCCATTACTAAGGTGGTGCCCGAGACCAAAATCTGTTACCCTTCATCACTGATTACTTTGGAGAAGAATTTGAGGACTGATAGTGACTGGGAACCGAGGTAATAGAGGCAGAATAAGATTCAGGCACGGCGGGAGTGAACACCTTTCAAACTGTAGGATTGCTGAAAACTAGCCTGCGCACGGCAGGGAACAGATGTAATTAATTAATCAGAATAGAGATGAAAGGGACCTTAGAGGTCTTCTAGTCCAACTCCCAGCCATTTGAGATAAATGGCCGTCCAGTCTCTTCTGGAAAGCCTCCAGTGATGAAAGCACCCACATATTCTGAAGGCAAATCTGATTAATTGTCCTCCCTGTTAGGAAGTTTCTGCTTCATTCCAGGTTGCTTCTCTCCTTGAGTAGTTTCCATCCATTGTTTCTGGTCCTGCCTTCTGGTGCTTTGGAAAATACTATAAGTTGATCCCGTCCGTTTTGTGGTCCACGTCTTTGACCCACTTGAAGGACAGAACGATTCGGCACGAAATGCTGGTATTAAACCTTGTAAGCTGAGTCGTTCAGTGGCTATTTGCAGAATTTACACATTGCATTTGCAGAATGTACACATTGCATTTTCAGAATTCCTATTTTTGGGTAGTACAAACATATAGAGAGTCAGTTTGGTGTGGTGGTTAAGGTGCTGCTGGCCTAGGAACCAGGAGACTTGTGAGTTCTAGTGCTGCCTTAGTCATGGAAGATGGCTGGAGGACTTTGGGTTAATCACCTGGAGACAGTGAATTCTAGTCCCACCATAGGCATAAAAGTCAACTGTGAGTGACTTTGGGCCAGTCATTCTCTCTCAGCCCAACCTACCTCACAGGGTTGTTGTTGTGGGGGAAAATAGGAGGAGGAAGGAGTACTAGGTATGTTTGCTGCCTTATTTATGAAGGGAGAATAAAATAATATAATAAATGTAACCACGGTATCATCTTTTAGAAAACACTTTGGAAGCAGGTGCATAAATTTGCAGAGTGGAAAAATTTGTTTGCCAAAAGTTACAGAAAGCACGCCTTGAATGGGTTCAGCCTCTGGTTTATTTTTATGACCCACAACTTTAGAAATATCTTTCTGGTATCCGAGGTCATGTTTTGCTTCGTTGCTCATGAGGCTTTTCCATTACTAGCAAAGTTTCCTTCCCCTACATAGCATTGCCCAATTTCTCCCGGTTGTAAAGAATGTCAGGTAGCACCTTGGAGAATATATTATTTTAATGAAATGTCAATGACAGCCAAGCATCTTAATTTATTTTTTTTACAACTGCACAATTACAGAGCTAAGTATTGTATTTAGAATAAGTATTCATCCAGTGGTTAGAATGCAGTATTGCAGGCTAATTCTGCCAACTGCCAGGAGTTCGATCCTGACTGGCTCAAACTTTGACTAAGCCTTTCATCCCTCTGATGTCGGTAAAATGAGGACCCAGATTGTTTGGGGGCAAGATGCTGACTCTGTAAACTGCTTAGAGAAGGCTGTAAAGCACTGGGAAGTGGTATATAAGACTAAGTGCTATTGCCTATTGCTATTTTTACTCCCTGAAATGGAAATCTTTGCAGCTGGAGGAAGTTACAAACCATCATTTTCAAAGCAAAATGAAAATATCTGGAAGATATTTTTTTTCCAGAGATATGGAAATGCCGCTGGTTTGATGTGGCATTCTCTTGATCAATGAAAATTCTAGTCCCGGTGACCGATACAAATTCGATCTTGCATCATTATCCTGGGACACGTATATTTGCCTTCCTTCGTAATGAAAATTCTTGTCTTCTTTAAAGGTGATTGATGGTTACTCCAGAGGTGGAAGGAAAACTGCCCTGAGCATATTTCTAGAATCTGAACTCTGCATTGCAAAAATCAAAACATACCACAAATAAGCCCTAAATCGTCACCGTCAACAAAATTGCACACATGCTGTCAGTTGGTTAATATTGCTACTGTTGACCAACTCAACCCCACTGAATGCTGTCAAACTTCTCAAGAAGAACAGAGAACATTTTTTTCATCCTTTTTTTTTCAGACAAACATGACATCTGTGGATAGTAGATTGCCTCATTTTTCTCTTGCCTGTTGAGCAAGTTTATAAATCAAATCTTGCCTGATTGTTTATTCCACCAACTCTTACTACAAAGTGTCCAACATATGAGGAAGATGGCAGGGTGGGAAGAATACTTCAGGACCCTGCTGGTGACTGTCACATTTGGCTTTTGTCTGTTGGGTGCAGGTAAGAATGAACCGGTCAGGATGGGTGAGCTTCTCAGTGGGATGAAAGAGAACCATGTACTGTTCAGGGAAGAGGTTCTGTTGATGTCCTTCAAGATCAGAGGTCTCCAAACTTGGTAACTTTAAGACTTGTGGACTTCAACTCTCAGAATTCTCCAGCTATGCTGGCTGGAGAATTCTGGGAGCTGAAGTCCACAAGTCTTAAAGTTAGATAGATGGAATGATAGAATGATAGAATGATAGAATGATAGAATGATAGATAGATAGATAGATAGATAGATAGATAGATAGATAGATGATAGATAGATAGATAGATAGATAGATAGATGATAGATAGATAGATAGATAGATAGATAGATAGATAGATAGATAGATAGATAGATAGATGATAGATAGATAGATGGATGATAGAATTCTTTATTGGCCAAGTTTCCAAGTTTGGGGACTCCTGTTCAAGATTTAGACTAGAAGGAAATGGACACAGGGAAAAATATTGGCTTTCTCCTGATTTTGAGCCCCACATTTCCTCTTTATGGGTCTACACAATGTAAATATTTAGCAGAAGCAGTTACATAAATAATCCCCATAAAACCCAGAAGGACAAAAGTGAGAAAACTGTGAACCTCAAGGATTGGTGAAACTCCAGGGTAGCAAGCATAGCTCCAGTTATGTTTAAACTGTTTTTTGGTGGGGAGTAGTTTAGTAAGTAGTTTGTATGAATCAACTACTTACTAGCCAGTAAGTAAGTGTCATTCAATCTCTTAACTGTGCAACTCTAAAACAACAACAACAAAAATGACCCCACCACCAGTTAATTTTGTAATCAGCTTAAAGTCTGTTGTGTCAGCATAGCCAGCTAGTTCTAATTATCTCCCCTTGAAATGAATGTGATATAAATTAACCACAGTGAGTGGTTGATTGATTTGAGAGGTGTTTCTCCTAATTAAGTTGGAAGGTCATGACAAACAATTATGAAATGCAATTTAAAAAAGAAAACAGGTAATGGGAAATTCTCAATCATGCGATATAGGTGACAGGTTAAATTGAAATGGCTTTTGGTACGTAAAAATTCAAATTAAGAAAAAAAAAAACCACACATACAAGATGCATTTCATGTTTACCTGAAGAAGAGCTTTGTGTGTGTTAGGCAGTGGCCAAAACACTTGACAGGTGGCTTTCAAAATGTTACTTTCAGATGCAAGAAACCACTTGTGAATAACGAAACTCAGTAACTTTATCATCTACCAGCTATGTTACAAGAATCTTATCAGACTGCTTGTCTTTCCCTAGGAATAGCCAGATAAGGTTTCAGAGGTCTTGAGGGAAATCAGGCTTCTGTTGCTTGTTATGGCACAAGGATTCCAAGCTAGGCCCTCGCTTGACTCCTCCTTCCAGGTTGGCTGACAATTTCCCAACAGTTATTTCCATTTGCATATTGTTTTCCTTCTCTATAGTGAATGGCCTGCGGTGCTATCAGTGTGTGGGGATGTTCCATGAATGTGTCCAATCAGAGCAATTGTGTACACCAAGGGATCGTTCCTGCTTCTCATCTACCATCAAACTTTTCTGTAAGGAGATTCCCCCAATTTTATGTACCTACTATGATACTTATTTACTTCAATTATATCCACCTTTCCATTCAAAATGGACCGTTTTTGTCTGTTTGCAAGAAGTACAGGCTAATGGCCCAATGCTTTCCACAGAGAGGGGATGGACCTAAAATTTGTTAGCAGTTAACAAACAATTTTAAAAAAATATTAGAAAACAAACATAATGTCTCCCAGAGCTCTAAAACTGCCAAAGGTTGCTGTCTTGCAAGGAGTCGTGTCTGGAACGCTTGTGGGTGATCTCAAGACCTCTCCTTGACCATAGAGGTTTCAAAGAACCAGTCTAATCACTGGGTCTTCTGTCCACGGCTGGACTGCATGGAGACGCCTTCGGTCTATCATTTTGTCTTTCAGAAGTCCTCACCCTGGTTTCTTCTGAATACTTCTCTGATGCAGAGTCTCCTCAAACTGATGGAAGTTGTATATTCCTTTTTTGGTCAATCCCTGGAAACTGGCAAAACTTTAGTGCATTTTTCCTGGAGAGATGAAGAAGAGGGTGGCTTTTCTTGTCAACAGTGATTGCTTTTGGAGATGGTTGGGCTTTTGAAAGCAACTTATTTAATGGACCCTTCTCCAAGAAAGCAAAATGGCTGGAGGATTCAGGACCTCTTACAGCCAGGGAGTCCCTCCTGCATAATATGGCTGTTTCACCATCCCATGCGAGGGCTAGTCAGGTATTATATAACCAAGGGATGGGGTACCATATAGCTTTCCACATGCATTTCATTTGAGCCCTAATATTCTTAGTCACGTGCAGCAATGATTGATTGGATCTGAGAGCCAAACAACACCCGGAGAACTGCAGTTTCCCCAATCTGGTATCCTTCCCATATGTTGATTCCTAGAATTTTTAGCTCAACTTGGCCAATTTGGGAATATTTACAATATCTGAATTCTGAGTATGACAAACTCCTACATCCATCACTGACCTTTTGGTCCCATTCTTTTCCAGATTCAAACAACTATACGGGAGTATTTTTGCTTCCAGGTAAGTTGGATGGCAATCATTAATTTTTTATTTTTTTTTGATCCAGAAAAACAAGTTTGAACCTGAATCGGGAAATTTTTAATTTTAAAAACACCAATCCGTACGTTGATTGATTGTGACTATTTAACCATGAGGCTGGAGTCCCCTCTACACATGGTCACAAGCAACTTTCTCAATTTATTTCATATGAGAGGAAGATGGGCTAGAACCAAAAATAACCCCATTCAAGGACAAAAGAACACAGGCTGAATTTCTATGAAGCCACATAAAACTTCAATGATTTGGTTAAATATGTATGAAAATAGTAATTTTTGTGCTTTATTTATAAGTAATAAATATCTAGAGAATAATAAAATTTAGAGAAAAGTGAATGTATTTTGAGGCAGAAAAATCAAAGTTAGTGGCATCAATTCTATAGAAATTATATGTGACTGACTTTAGCTCATCTTCTGCTATCTTTGCCTTCAACCCTCATGTTCAGCTTGGATTTTCAGGATTATTTATTTATTTATTTATTTATTTGATTTGTCAATTGTTTACAAGATAATAAGTATAAGTGTATACATAGTTGTGAATACATGAAATGGGTACATATAAGAAAAATAAAAGAAGAATAAGAGAAACAATAGGAGAGGGACGGTAGGCACGTTGGTGCGCTTATGCACGCCCCCTACAGACCTCTTAGGAAAGGGGTGAGGTCAATAGTAGACAGTCTAAGGTTAAAGTTTTTGGGGTTTGGGGAAGAAACTACAGAGTCGGGTAGAGTATTCCAGACATTGACCACTCTATTGCTGAAGTCATATTCATATTATGGTTTGTTAATCAAATTATATCGGCCCAATTCACATAACTCTAAGCCTGTACAATGGAATGGCTTCAACTGATTTTCTTGGACTACTTAAGCCCATGTATTTCCAAACCTCAGATTTAGAAATCGCTGAGTATGTGATGAAAGGCTGTTCAGGGGAAGGCGTATCCAATCGCACAGCTAACGTCTATTCAGAAGACGATCATGAAGTACACAACACGTATTACTGTGACTCTAACCTCTGCAACATCCGATTCACAGGTGGTAAGTACAGCATTTAGAACATCAACCTGTTGAGCAAGTGAGAACTGTAAGAACCAATAAGAACCAATGTGATGTAATATTTAAGGTGTTGGACTAGGGAACCAATCCAATGCCCCTTCCAGCTTTGCTATTCTATGATTATAGGACTTGGGTTGTCTTAAATATTAGTCTACTCTCAGCCATGGAAGCTCAGTAAGTGTTTTTGGGCCGATGTCTCAGCCCAATCTATCTCACAGTATTATTGTGGAGAAAAATGGGGGCAGGAGGAGAAGGTGTCCTCCCAGTTCCCAACTCTTTGAAGCAAGGAAGAGAACATAGAGTTACTGAAGCTTGGTTCTGCCTGATAGAAATGCATTAAAGCTGAAGAGTTTTAGCTTTTCTGAAGCGCAAAGTGATTTTTGGATACTTCGCTGGTTAGCAAAAGGCTTCCAAAACCAAATCAAAGGGCTGGTTCTACTTTGTAAAACTCTGCAGGCTGAAGTTCTAGGATAGCTTAAAACAAACTTCTTGCAGATGAATTCCATTCATCTTATGTGATTCCCTAGGGAGGAGATGCTTAAAGTTCTGGTCCTTCAAGAGGTGAAGAAAACATGGACTTGAAGGCGGATTTTCTCTGTGGTGTAGTTGTGATGTCTATGGAGATTCTCAGTCCTCCAGGTCATGGTTGTCCCAAAAGTGCTTTTTCAGAAGGCAACTGGACTTTCTTGATTTTCTTTGAAGACGTTTCACTTCTCATCCAAGAAGCTTTTTCAACTCTGACTGGATGGTGGGGAATGGAAGGATTTATATTCCTTGCAGACAGCTGGTCATTTGCATCATTTTAGAGGGTCACTGAGACCATTTGGAGATTCATCTGTGCCCTCAGGGTCACCTGAGGAGTGCCAATGGGTGTGGAGCCTTCTTGACTCCAAAGAAAAACAAGAAAGTCCAGTTGCCTCCTGAAAAAGCCCCTTTGGGACTTAGTGGTGGTGGTTCACCAATTTTTAATAGAGGTACGATGTTATGAACTGGAATGTGTATTTTTAGGCATATTGACAGGTTTTGTTTTTTTTTGTATTTTCTGATACCATGTTTGATTTTTGATGTATGTAAAAGTCCTGAAATGTGGGGTAGGCACATTATATATACAAGTGCAATAATGAAAGAAATATATTTTTTAAGAACCAGTGGCCAAGCGATATCCTTCCCTTCTATTTCCCCAGCTCCAGCCAGCTCTATTCAAGCAGCCAATGGCATGGAGTGCTACAGCTGTTTTGATCGTGGCACAGGAGACTGTGCTGAAGGAAATGCTACTCGGGTCAAATGTTTGGGAGATATGAATCAGTGCATGGATTTTACTGGTAAACCGAGATCTTTCTTGAATACGTTCGGGAATGGTGCTTAAAGGGATTGCAGAACTGCTGAGTGCAGATAGAGGAAATATTGTATCTATGATCTTTCTACACATCTATCTGAAAGGTGAACACAGATTAGCAAGTAAGATTTTCCATGAGCTGGACGTGAATAAACTAGACAGCACAGTGCAATTCAGAAGAAGCTGAAGGAACAACGGTTAGAGAAATAGCAGGAGAGGCAACGAGTGGAAATTATAAAAGAGAGAGAGAGAGAGAGAAAGAGAAAGAGAAAGAGAAAGAGAAAGAGAGAGAGAGAGAGAGAGAGAGAGAGAGAGAGAGAGAGAGATGCACCACAGTCAAGAGAAGAGTACAAAGCAGCTTTCTCCTAAGACATCCCGAGTACCATCAATGTGGACTTCAACTCCTAAACTTTTCAGTAATGACTAGGCTATCTGGCAAATTCTGGAGATTCCAGAAGTCGAAGTCCACATTTCTGGAGGCTACTCAAATTGGGCAAGGCTGGCCTACAGAGTTGGCAAAATCTGAACTCTCCCTCTTGACAAGTTGTCATTTAATGACCCCGTAATCCCTTACGAGGTGGAGTCGGGGCAACTGAATGAAGCTGAGTGTTTACAGGCTGGATGCCCTTCCTGTCACCAATGTGGAGTTTTGTTCAGCAGATATACTCTCAGTGTGCCCAGGGAGAGAAATAATCTGCCTCTACCTAGGATCGAAATCACAGCCTCCCGATTCTGAGGTGAGAGCTCCACCTCTAGGCCACCCCACCCCTCGACTCTCTCTCTTGACATGAAATAAAGACATTATGAATGGGGAACATGTAGGATTCAGGATCCGACTGAACCATAAATTCCAACTTTGCTAATCACCAGGCCAGCCCATCACTTCTGAGAGTTGTAACTCAGGAACAGCCTCATCTCTGAATTAGGCAATGTAGACATAAGGTCCCCCTGCCTACAGCCTGGTGCATTGCGTTCCCTCATGTTCTTTGATTCCTAGTGATCAATGGTGCCTGGAAAATGACGTATCGGACATGTGCCCTGGAAACCTTGTGCCGCCGGCAATATATGATGCCAGAACTCTCGGGGAGACTGGAAATAAGCTGCTGTTCTACACCTCTCTGTAACGATGGGCGGCCTGGCCTTAAAAGCATCTGCAGCCATTTCTCAGAACAAGGTAGCTTTCTTGTTACCCATCAGGAAAAGTACCGTGAGACATGAGTTGGTGTCAAGCAACGGGGAAATCAGGAGATTCAGGCAGTTCAAATGAGTATAAAGATTTACTCAATTCACTTTCTGAAATGGTTCTAAGGCTGTCAACTGGTAAATCATTCCTATGCCTGTTTCCGAGTTGCCATAAGAAGGAAGTGGGGAGGAAAGGTCTGAGGGAGCAGTTCGGGCAGGTGAAGGCCAGAAGCACATTCCACGCTTATCTTGCAGAGATTGTAGCCTAGGCTACCAGATCTTCTGCCCCGAAAATCCTTCATTGGAGAGTTAATTGATGACACCCAGCCTGCGTTTCCTTGGAGAATCTGATTTATGACACACCCAGGGGGGTGGGGGAAAACAGGGTCATAGGTTACATGTCTCAGGCTTCCTATGAGTTAGTGCTGGACATGTTGCTCCTAATAAATCTTTTGGATTTTGAAGCTTGGATGGAGGCTCATGATTTAATTAGGGCAATCATCGGAACCCTGACAAATGCCTCTACATCAGCACCCCCCCATCCTTTTGGGCACCAGGGACCGGTCTCGTAGAGAGAAGTTTTTCCACAGACTGGAGGAGCTTTGGTTTTGTGTGCTGCCTGCATCCCATGGATGGGGCTTTGTTTGTTTGTGTGGCCCGGTTTCTGGCATGCCACGGACTGCTGCTGGTTCACGGACCGGGGGGTTGGGGACCTTGGCTACACATGATAGATTGACTGATGGATTGATTGACTGACGGATGGATTGCTCTCCAGGAGTCAAGGAGAAGCCTGAGAATGGATTGGAATGTGCCAGTTGCTGTGATTTAGGCCAAGGTGAATGTGCCCATGGAAACTGGACTCATGTCAAGTGTGTTGGGGAGCAGATCAAGTGTGTAAATGTCACAGGTGAGTTGTGTGAGCATATACGTAGGTGGGTAATGGGTTAAATTGGAGCTGCGCCCACAATTTTCTTCCCCGAAGGGAAAAATGGGATGCAAAATAATAGTATTTTCTCTATCTCTATCTCTATCCCTCTCTCTGTCTCTATCTCTGTCTCTGTCTCTATTTATTTATTTATTGTTTATTTGTTTGTTTGTCAAACATGTACAAGATAACAAGTATAGGTATGAACATAAACATGAACAAAGGAAGTAAATACAGATAAATGGGGACAGTAAGACAGGGACGGTAATCATGCTGGTGTGCTTGTGCACACCCCCTTTAAGGACCTCTTAGGAATGGGGTGAGCTCCGTGGTAGACAGTTCGAGATCTCTGAAACTGCATCTCTATCTGTATCAGTATCTGTCTATCTTAACTTTTAAAGAAGATATCAGGAATTAATATTTAGAATAAAAATGAAAAAGGGAAAGAGATAAGAAAAAAAGACAAAGCTAAAATTGCAGAAAGAAGAGAAAGAAAAATAAATAAAGAAGTGACTTCTGATTTTCCTCAACAACAGTTATAAGTAAATTAACTTCTTACCAGAGGTGGTATTCAGTAGATTCTGACTGGTTCTGGAGAACCGGTAGCAGAAATTTTGAGTAGTTCAGAGAATTGGCAAATACCACCTCTGACTCTCTGCCAACCCCATCTATTCTCTGCCTCCGGAGTCCCAGCTGATCGGCTGGGTCTTCTTTGGTTGCCCTGCGCAGGAGAACAGAGCTGGAAAGCTGGTTGGCAGGCTGAGGAGGGAATGGACATTTTGCAGTATCCTTCTCCTGCCACTCCCACCAAGCCCACAGAACTGGTAGTAAAAAATTTTTTGAATCCCACCATTGCTTCTTACTCTATGATTGGTATAATGTGTAAATACCAAATACTGCTCTTTGAACCAACTATAGCATCTCAATGGTCTTTAAAGGTAACTCTATTAGTGTGTCGCAGTAATCTAGAGAGGTAGTAAGAAGGGTGTGAGTTACTATAGGAAGGTCTCTTCCCCTCCCCCAACATCCAGGTAGGGCTTCAACTGGCTCACCAGCCAAAGTCACTAGTCCCTTCGCATTTTGCTCCCCACTCCTTCTCCTCTCCACCTTCTCACCTTTAGCTCCACCATCAGTAATTTCTTCTTGCAGTCACTTTCAGACATTCGGTGTTACAGCTGTATTTGTTTTCTCTAGAGAAAGGCCATACATTGATGCGTGGCTGTAGCTTGGAGAAGCTTTGTTGGGAGAAACCACAGTTGCTGGGCCTGGACCGAAATTCTTCTATCAACTGCTGCTCCAGCTCTCTCTGCAACAGAAGTAGGGCCCCAACTGGAGAGGCTGCCTTGGTCCTTTTGCTCCTGCTTTTCTGGCTCCTTTGATAAAAAGTCTGGAGTGTTCAAATTTCAAGGAAGCCAAAAGAAGCTGGAGAACAGAGAGCCCAGCATCACAAGGACTGATGTACTATGGCCACCTACTGTCCCTCTTGCCTCACAGCATCCAACATGACAAGTGTTGCACACAAGGTGGTTTTAATTACTCCAGCCTACATGACAATGCTCTCTGTGATTCTCTCCACTGTCTTTAAGTAGGAAGCTTGAAAGAAACAGGTTTAGCGTCCTACGCAAGAAAGAGGGTTCAGTTTATGAGCTAAGGTGAGGGTGGCATTTGGGGCAGAAGTTACAGTCTTGAAATATTATCGGCCTCTCCCTGCCTTGCAGTTTCTCGAGGCTAACTCCTGCCAAAGGACCCTTTGCTTCCTTTCCTTCATGGGGTGAAAAAGGGGTGGTTTTCCTTGCCCTTTTAGCATCAGCTGCAGGGTACGGCACCATGGGTATTAGTTACGCAAGACTTTTAGGTTGGCTCTCATGCCAAAATGGAAATTGATGGTTTGCATAAACAAAAAATCTCTAACTGGTATGATTTCCTTGTTGCTAGAGAGAGCCAATTTTCACCAGGAGGGTAAGAATCATCTCAAAACATAGCCACTGCAATGTCCCTTGTGCTATTGACTGTTTTCTGGGGGACATGGTCCTCCAGCGAGGGGAGTGGTGTGGTGACCTAGAGGTGGAGCTCTCGTCTCACTATCAGGAGGCTGTAAGTTCGATCCTAGGTAGAGGCAGATATCTCTCTCTCTGGGTCCACGCTGAGAATATATCTGCTGAACAAAACTCCGCACTGGTGACAGGAAGAGCATCTGGCCATTAAAATACTCTGCTAGCTCCATTCAGTTGTCCCAGACTCCACCCCATAAAGGATTATGGGGTCATTAAATGATAATGACAATGGTGGTCCTCCAGTGAGGAACAAGAGATTGCTCTCCCTGCCCTGCCTGTGGACTTCAAGATCCATGGACTTTATGATCCTGCGTCTTCATCCAGAATTGTCCAGTGGAGTTTCCTTCAGGCTTCAAAAGACATCAAACGGGGGGGAAGGCTGTTCCAAAACATGTTGTGCGCACCGAGCTGATGGTGATTTTAGCCAACCTCGTTGCAAGGAATCAAATCACACTCCTTGGATTTTACTGCACAAACACCGATCGGATCTACCTCCTTTCATTCTGCTAAGAAAACTAGAATCAAGGATCGCTCTAAGCTGCCCAGAGTCACTTGGATGGCGAGATGGGCAGCGTATAAAACGTAATAAACAAAAATATGTAAAGATGGGTCAATCAATGCATAGCCATGGCAGAACCTGTTCTTTGACTTGTAGAGGCTGACTAATGGTTATGGGTTTGGCCTTTTTTCCTTCGGTGTAGAAACCTGCCAATGTCCTTGAATTCCTAGCCTGCAAAAGGATGTTCAGGAACCTTCAATATGAGGGATGCAGGGGAGACAAAAGATAATTCAAAAGACATGTTATTAAATTAAAGAAAACACAGTTTGCAGGGCTGTTGTGTTCTGAGGTGTGAGTCTTTCTGTAAAATGGCATTTTGGAGAATTCCATAGCTCTGGAACCTTTTGCAGGAAATCGTTTTGGGGGAGACAAAGGCACCCATGAGCCCACCTCTGCCCAAGACTTCCCCCCCCCAATGCTCCAGATTTTGGAACTAGCATAAGGATATTGTATCCTAAGAAGTGTAATCTGAGTATCAAGAAATGCACGAGGTCCTCAAAAGTCTTGGATGGGGCTCTTAAGAGACAGTCAAAAGTTGTGGTTAGCTATGCTCCTTACCCTGACGGAAGGGAAAAATTAATAAACACATGACCAAGGAGTAATCATATGGATTAATGTTAATGAAAGCCACATACAAATGAATTGAAATCATGTTTAATTTTGATTCTCCGTTATTTTGAGAAGGGCAGTTCCTAGGATGCTGCAACTGAATGGAATTCTCATTCCATAAGAAATTTCAGGTTCTTTTTTTGTGGAATGCAGGTGTGGGAAGGAAAAAAGGACTGTCCCTGGGAACAAAACAGTAATCTTTATGAGACACCCAAGCTCAGAGTGCACCAAGGACCCCTCGTTTCAACCCGGGCTACAAATATTCTCCTTTATTGCCAATTTCTATTTCATTTAGGCACTAAATAACAGTTATGCCTGGTCTATTCAAATCCTATTTCGCTCCATTAGCTGAGTTCAGAGAACAAATTTAACCTGTTCCCCATTGATTTAGCCAAAGTTTCTGAACGTTGATCTGACTGGTAGCACACAATCTGACTACAGATAAGGATAGCAGTTATATAGAAGTATGCTGGAAATAGTTGACAGATTAGGAGCAGGTAGCCAATCTTGGTAGAACATCACTGCTCTCTTGTGGTAAATGAAAGGAATTGTGAGGAGAAGACAACCAACTATTATTTTTCTTTCTTTCTTTCAACAGCGTTTTGACATCTACAACTCTTATTATTTATTTATTTATTTATTTTATTTATTTGATTTGCCAATTGTTTACAAGATAATAAGTATAAATGTATACATAGTTGTGAATACATGAAATGGTTACATATAAGAAAAATAAAAGAATAAGAGAAACAATAGGACAGGGACGGTAGGCACGTTGGTGCGCTTATGCACGCCCCTATCTTATAAGTCTTAATATATTTAATATACATTCACCAATAACTGTTATCTCTATCTATAGTTAGTTCTATCCTGTATACTTATATATTTTATATATCCACACATCATTTTCTTAAGGTCTCTTACAGTTAATCTCCTCTTCTTGTTTCTTATAACTATTCTCTTAACTATTCATACCATTTGTGCCAGATTGAATAGTACTCGGAATCCTCCTTCCATTCTCTCTCTCTCTCTCTCTCTCTCTCTCTCTCTCTCTCTCTCTCTCTCTCTCTCTCTCTATCTCTCTCTCTCTCTCTCTCTCTCTCTCTCTCTCACACACACACACACACACACACACACACACACACGCACACACCATCCCTCCAGGAAGCATAGCAGATTGACTGGATTTTGGTCTTCGGCTTGCAGATATGACCTTAATTTTCCCAGGTGGCCCAGGATAATCTTTCTGGATGGACCCGTCCATCCACATTCTCTGTGTCACTTGATTATATGGGATGGGGTGTTTCCCTTTGGCGCTGGACAGCAGGTGGAGGTGAAAAAGGCCTGAAGTTTAATCATCTGAAATCAGGAGCTGGCTTTTGCTGATGGAAAAATGTCTTTGGTTGGGCCATTCCGCAGGGCCAGCTTTCTCACTATCAAAGTGTTAGCGTGGGAAGGCATTGTTCAAGAGGCAATTGATCTTTGCTCCTTGGTGTGTCTCGTGTGTGTGTGTGTGTGTGTGTGTGTGTGTGTGTGTGCAGGCGCACGTGTGTAGCCTGGAGGAACTGCACAACGTTAAGTGAATGAGGGGTGCAATTTATAGCCTTGTCACTGGCAGCTAAACATCTTGGGATATTTTGCTTGGATGTTTGTCCTTTCTATGTATATCCCAGTTTAGTTTAGCCAAACTCTGTTTTTCTATCACTGGTTTAAAAGAGCCTTTTAATGAGGTTCCAGTTTGAAAGATCTTTTCTTGGGAAGTGTCATAAAGAGACGTTCTGGATTAGGCCACCTGGAATGTGAATTTAGGGCTGGGCTCATGTAGAAGAGAATCCTTTTTTAAGCAAAAATTAGCCATGGGAAAAGAAACTCAATGGCTTAATATTTAATTTTTTAAACAGTGACAGGAACTGCATTACATACAGAAATAAAGGTTCAACCTATATGTTTTGTGTGAATTTGATCTTTTGAAATGACCGGTAGGGCTTGGTTCCCAGTCATGATTTTTCAGCTTTGTCTTAATTTTGTATTGCAGAGAATGTTGAATGACGGCTATTAAAATGAATGAAAATGATTAGGATTGTCTTATGATTTGAGCTGTGCCACTCAGGAGTTAAAATTAGGCAGGTTGTAGATTGCAGATCAATTGTATATCTTGATTCAAATACTAAATTAGGCCCATTACATTTCTCCATGAATGTGAACATCGCATTATAGAGGGGAAATATAGTATTCAACTTCAATGATGTAAACAAGATGTTAAGACTCTAGAAAAAGTGCAGAGAAGAGCAACAAAGATGATTAGGGGACTGGAGGCTAAAATAAATGAAGAATGGTTGCAGGAACTGGGTATGTCTAGTTTGATGAAAAGAAGGACTAGGGGAGACATGATAGCAGCATTCCAATATCTCAGGGGCTGCCACAAAGAAAAGGGAGTCCAGCTATTCTCCAAAGCACTTGAAGGCAGGATAAGAAACAATGGATGGAAGCTAATTAAGGAGAGAAGCAACTTAAAACTAAGGAGAAACTTCTTGACCGTTAGAACAATTAATCAGTGGAACAACTTGCCTCTAGAAGTTGTGAATGCTCCAATACTGGAAGTTTTTAAGAAGAGATTGGACAACCATCAGGTTTCCTGCCTGAGCAGGGGTTGGACTAGAAGACCTCCAAGGTCCCTTCCAACTACAATTCTGTTCTGTTCTATTCCTATTCTATTCTATTCTATTCTATTCTATTCTATTCTATTCTATTCTATTCTATTCTATTCTATTC